GCAGGCTCCAGGCTCTGAGCTGTCAGCACAGAGCCCGACACAGGGCTCAGACTCACGAACTGGGAGATCATGACCTGAGCTGAAATCGGACACTTAACCGTCTGAACCACCCAGGCACCCCATCTTTTATATTTTTTCTTATATCTTGGTGATGGGGGCTTTCCTCAGTTCCATCTTTCTTCATTAATTTTCTTTTCATTTATATTTGGTCTGCTATTTAGCCCATCTTCTGAGTTTTTTTAATATAAAATATAGTTTTTATTTCTAAAATGTCTGGTTATTTTTCTTAACTACTAAGTAATTGTGTGTTTTATCATCTGTTTTTATTTGTTTGTTGATCTCTTTTATCTCTTTGAACATATTAAATATATTCATTTAATATCTTACTGTACTAAGATAGCAACTAGCTGTTTTCTTTCTTCACCAGAGAACGTAGTGAGATGAGAAAATGAAAACACATTTGAGGGCTTCTGTCTTTAACATTGAGGGGGATGCAAAGAAAACTTTTTATAGATTTTTTTAGGATTGTAAAAATAGGATTGTTCTCAGAGGCAAGAACATTGACTACATAAAATCAAATCCCTTCTAATCCTGTCGCTGCTTCTAGTATTTGGTAAATGTAATCTTGCCATCTATTCTAAGAAATTATTCTAAAACACACAGAGTTTTGGGGTGCCTGAGTGTCTCCAACTCTTGGTTAAGCATCTAACTCTTGGTTTTGGCTCAGGTGATAATCTTGCCACTTGTGAGTTCAAGCTCTGTGTCGGGCTCTATGCTAGCAATGCAGAGGCTGCTTGGGATTCTCTCTCTCCCCTCTCCCTGTCTCCCTCTCTCTGCCCCTCCCTTGCTTGTGCTCTCTCTCTCAAAATACATAAATAAATTAAAAAAAAAAAGTTTTGAGCATAAAGATACCCAAATACCCTTCTATTTATACATGTTTAAAAACTAGAAGTATCTTGTGCATTCAGTCAAATGATACTTAAAGACTCAAAATGGGAACATGGTTGTTATAATGTCAAAAGAAAAAGATAGGATAATAAACTGTATAGATTGTTAACTCGAATACTGGAATGATGCATAGAAAAAAGACTGAAAGGAAATTCACCAAAATACTAACTGTGATTGGTTTAGAGTAGGTTTTTTTTGTATACTTTCCTGACAATTTTTCCTATAATTTTCTGTGATGACTGAATTGCTTGAAAAATCAAGGAAATGGGAAAAAAAATCAATGGTCTAGTGACTTAACTTACAAGTTGTTCAAATCAATTGAGACAGAGTAAGTGAAAGCATGTTGTAAACTATAAAATGAAGTAATAAGCTAAATTATTGTTATTAGCAATAACTGAAGGGTAATATAATTCATCTTTTGAACTCTTCCTATAGAGAGCTCTCTTTTCGGTCAATTTCATCTAATTTATTTTTGTCAATACAAATGGGGTAGCAGAACACTTCGAAAATCTCCCTGAGGATAATAAACTATATTACCTTTTTTGTTATTGCTTTGAACTCTTACCATGATGATAATAAACAAAGCCCCTTAAGCTGGTTTTACCTCCTGCTCTTGTACCCAGGCAACAGCAGTATCCCCTTGAAAAAAAAAAAAGATAAAACTATTGAGATTTAAAATACAGTTTTACAACTTTCTCTAAAAGGTGAGTTAGTTAAATCACGGGGGAAGAAAATACCAAATTTACAGGAACAAACGTGTGTTTATTTTTTTTTTTTTAGTGTTTTTATTTATTTCTGAGACAGAGAGAGACAGAGCATGAGTGGGGGAGGGGCAGAGAGAGAGGGAGACACAGAATCTGAAGCAGGCTCCAGGCTCTGAGCTGTCAGCACAGAGTCCGACGCGGGACTCGAACTCACACACCGTGAGATCATGACCTGAGCTGAAATTGGTCGCTGAACCGACTGAGCCACCCAGGCACCCCACAAACGTGTGTTTATTAAGCAACACGTTAACTGCAAGGGATTTCATATGTAGATTATCTATAATTTGAATGCAATTTTCTAAATTTTTTTTAATGTGAGTGGTTTCAAAGTCTTTTGGTATTTAATAACATGTGCTATTATTAACACAGTTGTTAAAGTGCAGATGTTTTCTTCAGTGCCTGGCCCTTTCAAGATATTGCCCAGGAGAATGTTATTACTTACAATTGAACTACTTCTGGACCTCATGCCTTCCTTCCTCCTCAGTACCAATTATGTATCTGATGCTTTGGTAGGCAATGGAGATCCAACTATGAACAGGAGATACAGATCCATCCTTGGGTTTTATGGAGTCTAGTCACACAAGTATTTGAGTGTCTGGTGTGTACCTAGCTCTATCCTGAGAATTTCAGGGTTCCCAAAGGAAAAATACTCCATATACTGAAGAGCCTTTTAGTTCTTGAATGATGTTTTTTTGACCACTGCATAATAGCTTCCTTGGACTACCTACCTGGCCTCTGAACGAGAGGAATTGAAAATAGCCAGAATCAGTCAGCTTCTGTCCATCTTAGACTAGGAACCCCTCTACACTGAAGAAAATCCAGGTGTCAGAAAATTGATTTAAAATAAAAGATACTAATTCTGCCACAGAGTTTTAGAATTGTGATGTATTCAATCCTATCACTTTTTGATAAGCTAATGCAGTTTTGCCATATTTTCTTATGGTCATTTCAGATATGCAGACACATGGGATATATAAATTCTGACTAGACAATGAGCAGCATAAATGAATGTGCTAATAGCTAAACCAGTAGAGGCTGTTCTTTACTTTGTGTAGATTTAATGTCCTCTGGAAGGATCTCCAATTTATTTTTAAAAAATGATTTCTAAGGCTTATAGTATGGGATTGCCCAAATCTCACAATGGTAAAGTAAATGTTATTTATTTAATATTAATTTTATTACATCTTGCATTTAATACTTGTATATTTTTATGAAAGTTTAGTATAGAATTTTATCATAAGAGGATACTTCTGTGGACATTCATATATAAATAAAACAATTCTAAGACTAGTTTACTCATCAGCTATTTCAGAAGTCATGTTAAAATGTGATATTAGAATAGGACAGTTTACAATATAGTTCTAATTCATTTTTTATGGATTAAGAATATGAGAGAAATATCATGTAACACCATGTTATTTGGAGGAGACAGGGCTTGCTTATAGGGAAATGAGAAGCTGCATTTTGCATTTATTAAACCCCTATCTTTCTGCCATGCCCTCATCTTTAGTCACTACCCTACCCTACCCTATGTGTTTCCCTGATCCTTTTCCTGTCCAATAGAGAATTTTGTTCAAGTAGTATTCTTGGAGAACGTCATAACACTATGTGTACCCCTGGCCCACTGCAAAATCAATCTAACCTACTCCAACTGGGTTCTCATTGCTGCTTGACAATCTTGATATTGATCTCCCATTTATTCCCCAGCACACTTCCCTTAGAAGGTGCTTCAGATCTTTCTGCTCACACATCTGATTCACTACTTACCCTTTCCATTCTCACCAGATAATATCCATCCAACTTTACTGAGAAATTTACAGGTAACTAGTGCTGTTTAATTTTTCCTTATCTCTACCTTCAAGCAGCAAACTTTTATTATCAACCATGTGCCGGGCTCTATGCTTGTTCCTGGCACATAGTAGGTGCTCAATAACTGTTGAAATGAATCTATGTGTTGATGAAAAGATAGGTCTAGGGGCTGAGATACTTTACATAGAGGAGGAGTACAGAATGGAAGGGCACAATAGGTAATTTTGACCTTGGATGTTCTTAGTAAAGAAGGATGGTTTCCTATTGCAAAGAAAGAAGAGTTTTGTTTTTGGTTTTGTTTTTTTATTTCCAGGGCTAAACTCTTCTTACCATTCCTTTCTTCTTCCTCTTTGAAAGTGATTCAGCTCTCTCAAAGAAGGACAACTTCATTATATCTAAACACACCTCTCTGAAACCCATCACCATCATCAACAACTAAAATTCTGACCCTACTGACTATAACCATCCCATTTTCATACTTACCTTTTGTATAAGTGCTCTGCAATTACTATAGTATACTTATTTCCTTGTCACCCATGTTGTCCTCTTGAATTCATTTTGTCTTTTTTTTTTAATGTTTATTAATTTTTGAGAGACAGAGACAGAGTGTGAGCAGAGGAGGGACAGGGAGAGGGGGACACAAACAGAATCTGAAGCAGGCTCCAGGTTCTGAGTTGTCAACACAGAGCCTGATGTGGGGCTCAAACCCACAAACCATGAGGTTATGACCTGAGCTGAAGTCGGATGCTTAACCGACGGAGCCACCAGGCGCCCCGTATTTTGTCATTTTATTATTCCCATTTATACCAACTAAAATCTCGCCTACTTTTTTTTTTTTTTAATCTCACCTATTTTTTAAGACTCATCTCTCACACCAAACATTCTCTGGCCCCTGTAACTGGAAGCTCTCTTGAGAGAACCAGCATTGTCTGTTCTGCTCCTATGATATATATCCTAACCTGCCTTTTACTTCTGTGCAATGCCATGGGTTTCATTTCTATAACATAGGGTTCAATAAACATTGGTTGAATGAACATAGATAAATTGAATACCTTACATGGGGATGGCAAAAGAAAAAATAGTTAATCTTTTTACAAAATAAACTTTTTTCTTTAATCACTCTAATAAACAATTCATTTTAAATACTATTTCTATCCATGTCTCGCCACTCCAGTGAATGAAGATGAAATTGTCAGCAATTTGGCCAGCTTCAGTTTTAAGCTAGCAGGATGTTATTAGAAATGGTGATAGTGGTATAGCCATAGTTCCCTGTGTTTATTGTTGGAGGAAACTAATGCTTTATATCAAATATGTTACTAAAGTCTAGATTTCTCCAATGAAACTTAAAGGGAATTGTGAGGCACCTCTGAATGACAGGTTTCTGAACCAGTTCCAAGGTGGATTCTGAAGACTACAAATGGGAATTTTTGGTTTGCTTTCAAATAGTTCTGATATTCTTCATTTTGTCATGTTTTTCAGCTGCTACTGGTTATCACTGCACTTTATCAAATAGCATCCCCATTTCAATTGAGAATGAAGAGGTTCTTGGATAAAGAACTTATAAAAATCAGGTACAATAATAAAGTCATGGATGATTCTTGGAATTTGCTAAAATGAAATGCTGCATCTAAGTGCAATATAAGTGCAACATCTTAGCTACATAAGATCATTATCATAAAGTAATCATCATGATTAAAAAAAAAAAACCCTAATTGAATCATTATTCTTTCCAAAAGATCAGAATTCTGAGAATACTACTCAGAAGCTCTCAAACTTAATATGGAGCAGGAAATATTGCGATGAGTCCTCAAGAGTGAGAAATAAAAAACAGTTGTGCTGTTCTTTCATTGTGCTTTTTAAATTTCATTATTCATAACTATATAGTACTTATGTATGGTGAAGAATGTAGTCAGAGGGGAATGCATCTGTCAGAATCTTAGTATATAAAAAAGAATAGAAGTAAAAACAAAATAAGCATACTCAGTAAGTTATCATATGTCATATTTGAAACTTGAGCTATATATTCTTTTTTGAAACAAGGATAATAAAACAATAAATAAAATTTTTAAAGTGTGTACTTATGCTATAACTAAATAAAAGAAACTTGTAAGCAGGTGAATAAAGCTAGATCTATGATTTCTTATTTTGACTCCCTGGACAATACCAACAGCAAAATAATGCCCAAAATATGCGTATCCTTTTGTAACTGTATCTACAAGGATACAAATGATATTTTAATATTCAATGAGAAATATTACATATATAAAAGTTATGGAAATCTAACACTAAATTTTGTGGTGGTTAACATTTTAGTAGAGTCTGTGGTCAGTATAAAATTTTAAAATAATGTATAGAGTTTGAAAGTATGATGGATACCAAAGACGAGAAAGAAAAGAAATTGTAGACAATTCAGTAAGAAGACGTTTGAAGGATCTATTTAGCTTGATTTTTTTACCCAGCAGATTAAAAAGTGAAATGCCTAATTTTATATATTTATGGATTATATTTTAAGATGCTTTAATTTAGTCATTCTGTTTTTCAGTCTTCTCATATCTTGACATTGATTCCCATATTGACCTAAGTAAGCTACTACATCAGGCATAGTCTGATGTAGTAAACCTTAGTGCCTTAAAACATGACAAGTTTTTGTTTCTTGCTCCTGTTACATGTACATCATTAGTTGGCTGGGGACTCTCCTGTACATTATCCTCATTTAGAGACTCTGGCTGAAGAGGGGGTCTACCTACACTGTTTCACAATTACTGTGGAAAAGAAAAAGTAAAATGGAAAATAAGCACAAAATATTAAAGCTTCTCCCTAAAAGTGATGTTTTGTTACTTCTGATCACATTACTTGACTAATGCAAAGGATATGGCCATGCTAACTTCAAATGGGATCAAGAATGATAGTCCCCTCATGTGCTCTGAAGGAGAAAGGCCAGACTTACTTAGTATACTAATGAGTTCTATACTCATCTAGAAAGGACTGGAGATGGCAACTCTTTTAATTCATTCTCTGTTCAAGCCAGATTTGAGTGTTGCTTCCTTTTCTAGTTGTAGGACGAGAAGGATATTGATGGATGATAACTTTCTTCAAAGGAAGAAATGTAAGAGAATATTATATGGAGCATTAGGATTAACTTTTATTCTTCACTCATTTGTGTATGGACTTATTTCTTCTTTAGCCCCCAAGGAGGCTATAATTTGTCAGGAAACATAGGTCTGGTCTCCATGAAACAACTGGAGGATGAGGCAGACTATCATATCATTCCAGTGAATGGTTTATAGGCCACAAAATAAAATCAAAAAGGTAGGTGAAATTAAGGAAAGATAAGTGTTAAGTGAGTTAAGAAAATTTCCTTGAAGAAGATATATCATTAGATGGACATGAAATATTAGGTTTAGTTTAATCAAAAGAAGGAAAGAAGTTATTTCTTTTTTTTTTTTTTTAACGTTTATTTATTTTTGAGACAGAGAGAGACAGAGCATGAATGGGGGAGGGTCAGAGAGAGAGGGAAACACAGAATCTGAAACAGGCTCCAGGCTCTGAGCGGTCAGCACAGAGCCCGACGCGGGGCTCGAACTCACGGACTGCGAGATCATGACCTGAGCCGAAGTCGGCCGCTTAACCGAGTGAGCCACCCAGGCGCCCCGGAAAGAAGTTATTTCTAATAAGAAACACAGCAAGTAAGAAGCCAGAAATGAGAATGAGCAAGGAAGAAGGAGAGATGAGATTTGCTCAACTGGAGTAAAGGGTAAGATTAAAAGTTGAAATAGTACGTTAGGATTAGTTTTCTGTGAACTTGAACATGAGGCTATAACCTTTATATTTGACCTAATGGGAAGTAGTAAGAAACTGTGGATTCAGCTAAAGCCAGAATAAAAGAGTGTTTTAAATTGTAGGAGTTTTAAGGATACACCTGAAGGAAAAATTCCGAGGAAGTTATATTTTGTTACAAAAATGTTTTGAGAAAGCTGAAGACTGGGTTCCTGTTAGACTTTAAGTGTTTCAATCTGGTTGGTGAGATAGACCATGCCTTTGAGATAAAAGTAGTCTTTGGTTAAAATTTTCAAGTATAAATTTGGTCACTGATGGAAACTCTCTAGAAATAGTTAAGAAAAATTAATTCAGCTATCCAAAAAACTTTTGGTTATTCCACCTGGAGATAAAAGGTTGATTTAACTTATGTTACAATTATTAAAAAGACCCATACATATATCATAAGATATAAATATGCTACCTAATACCCTGTACCCATGTGCTACCTCGTAAAAGAGCATACTGTGTTTTCAAGTCTTGAAAAAATAAAAATTCATTGTGTCCTATATTAATTAAAGCATGAACCATAGTTTCATAGGAAAAGCATGGTTTTTAGAAGGAGACATATCTGGGTTCACATCCAAGGTGAGCTTGACAGAGAAGTAGAGAAGGCTAAACTACCCTAGCTTCTAGAGCCTCGAATTCCTCACCTATAAAATGGCAATAATAGGGGTACCTAGCTGGCTCAGCTGCTAGAGCATATGGCTCTTGATCTTGGGGTCGTGAGTTTGAGCCCCGTGTGTGGTTTTTTTTTAAATAAATAAGCAAATAAAATGTCAATAGTAATTGGATCTGCCTCAGAGTTGTCAATAAATGATGAAACATATATAAAGTAGCTAGATATAATAGGTATGGTAGCAGTGATGGCAATGATTATATAGAAGCAGCTACTTAATATTATTGAATTGAGTTGAGTTGAATTTAATGAAAATTTCCCGTCTTTATATTTGTAAAGATTATAAAATTAGTAAATCCTAATTATTAATGATTTATTCACTAAAATTTATTTCATAATTTTACTTGTATTCTAGAAATAAGTAAAAAGAAGAAGTAAAGAAGAAAATAAATGTTAAGTCAGAGAATTCAGTGTTCTATTTCTTAAGTGTTCATGATCCCTAATAGGTTTTATTCCACTTAACAGATGGCCACCCCAAAGGCAGAAACTTTCATCAGTGACTACTCCCTAAAACTGTTTGTGGTGAATAATACAATCCTATTTTTCAGATGAGGAAGCTATACAAAATAAGTAGAACTCAAGAAGTTAGTTGAAAAAGCAGTACTTTAACTCATGGCATTTGATTTATATCACTGTGTTGACTTTGTTGTTCCTCAGTAGTTTTATAGTACCTTGCCTTTTAGAGGAGAAGTTATGGTTATGAATGTCAGTGTTCAAACTGTACCCCAAGGACCACATTTAGTCAATCTAAGGTCCCTGAGGATTTGATCACTTCCCAAAGTTGTACTCCTGGTTCTTTCCCATATCTGCTGCATACACTGAGTATAGAAGATCTGAGAGTATGGTGATAAGTAAAATGAAAACAAAGAAATAAAATAGAAATTCATATTTAACAGCCTTAACAATCCTAAATCATGAAATTTTGATGTGAAATGGTCTTAAAGTAAAATTACTAAATTTTAACTTGAAAATATTATACACACACACACACACACATACGCATGCATATGCTAATGGGGCCTTTGGCTTAATTGAGTATTAAGGTCTGATACTTCCTCTAACTGGGTAGAGCAGTGCAGTATGGTACTAATGTCCTTAGCCTAAGCAGTTACAAAAAAATGAACAATGGTAATCGTTCTCAAGTATTTATTTTGGTGGTTCCTCAAGAGATAGTCCAGAGGTTCTGCCTTACTGGAGAATCATCTACCCCATTACCACGTTGACATCACTTAAAATGGAGTGTGTATGTATGTGTGTGTATAGAAAAAAATCACTTAAGGTGACAAAGTAAATTCAATTAGACCAGGTAAGTATTTTGGCCTGTATGTGAAGGGACTTTTGGACAAATGCATTTGACAAGCCACTGAGGAAAATAGACCTTTGTTATTAGATATGAGTGCTCTGTCTTACAAACAAACAAATCCATCCCTCCTAAAAATAAATAAATAGAAAAGGAAAGGGAAAAAACACCACAGCTTAAATGATAGGTTTTGTAAATGTTCTGCTATTTTACAGTTTTTCAATTGAAACCACAGTTTCCTTTTTCTTCTTTCTACTTTTATACACACAGCCTAGAAGATGGACGTTTGGCAAGCCATAATAGACTGCTCCTTTCCCAGGTATCTCCTGCTTGTTTCCTTTATCTGTGAATAGGAAATGGCTTAAAGGCACCTGTGTGATGAAGGTCCCAGGGGCAGCTGCCTGACTACTGAATGCCTGATTATGTGTTAACATGCTTTGTCAGATATTGGCAGAATCTGTTCTCTTCTTTTGCCTTTTCAGCAAGGGTACCATTGACAGGCTGGCTACCCATTTATAGAAATGTTGTCCATCAAACTGTGAGGAAGGACAATAGTGTTTTTCTGTGGCCAGTGACTGTGGGAAACTTTTCTTTGGCTATTCAGGCAATTTTTGTAGCTTGCTCTGAAGAGGAGAGACTGATGAGTGCAAAAAGTACAATTAAGCAAAGCCAGACTTCAATTGAAGGCTCTAGTGTAGTCTGCTGTTCTCCTTTTTTTTTTTTAATTTAGAAGGGGGGAAAAACCCTATGGGTTTTCATGTTGCTGTGTGGCATTCAGCAGGGGGCTATTACAATCCTAAATTTTTTTTCTAGACCACCTAATTCTAAGTTAAAATTAAATGTAATGAGAGCCACTTGGAGTTCTGAATATTTTAAAGCATAATTCCCACAGAAGGGATTCGACCTAAACTGCAGTGAGCATCAGTTGGCTAATTATAGCTGCATTTTATATTACAGCAGGTGTCAGATGCAGTCATCTCAATAAAGTCCACATAATACTCGGGAAATAACAAAGACTTTTCTTTGAATGTGGGTACTAATTTCTGCTAGGTGTCATATGAGCCTTGATACTTCTTATTGGCATTAACAAGAGCACTGCAGCACTCAGAAATGCTTTTTGCTTGGGATGAATTGATACTGTAAAGCACTTACCAGTCAGACTTGACAGATGTCAGTAGTTAATACTAATGTTGCAGAGGTCGGAATATAATGCAAAGAGTCTTATGTAAATACTCTTAGATGATGGGCTGGTTTTGAGAAGGCGCCTGAGCACTGCACCAACTCACTTAATGAAAGTTAAATAGATAGCAGTGGGGTATCTGCTTTTACTTTGGCTCCTGCTTTATTGCAAGTCCTCCAGAAGTGAAGGGCAGATGGTAAGGCAGTAAACTAGGTGAACAAATACACTGGACTTGGATAAGGACTTGTTATGTTCACAGCACTTTCCTTGAGCTTGTGTGGGTGATTCAAATTACTAAAGTTATAGGTCAAAAGCATGCCTGAAGATAAGAGCTCCTGTGTATATCCCACAGATAAAAAATAAATTTAATTTAGAAAATATGTCTGCAACTGAAAAACAATTAGACAATGGCATAGGCAAGACAAATGTCTCTTTAAAATCATGGCAATTGTTCCACACTGCTCCGTACTTTTAGGAGTTTTACGGTTTGTCTAACCTATTGTAATCACATTGGATCACAGCAAGTGAGATCAAAACAGAAGACCTATTAAAATCTTATTACAAAATATCGATGAGATAAGACAAATGTGAACTTTTTACACACATGCCATTCTGGGATCAACACTATTTATTTTAAATCTAATTCAGAGGTAACAAAGCAAAGAGAATTGTCCCTAATTATATCTCCCAAAACAGTTTCGGGTTCTCATTTTGGCAGGTTACAGTTTATGTACATCTCATAGCAAATTCTGTAGGGTGCTGTCAGCAATTAGGCAGAAATTGCCTTCAGTAATTTAATATTCATTTAGCATTGGTTCAATAAATGAATGAACACTGATAGGAGCAAAGCACTGTTAAGCCCAGAAATAAAATCTAAGGTAAAACAGAAGACACATTGTCCCTAGAGTGCTGACCATCAGTTCACAAAAACAATGTCCCTCATAGCTGTTTTGAAGATTTCTGTTAATTTTTGTTCAGATCATATATGTTCATGGATTTTGATAAGGTCCAGGACAAAATTGTGAAATAGTATGACAAGTTGCAGAGAAATCACTACAAAGGAGAACAAGTAATCTGCTAATGGCAATAGTTTCCTTATAATCCTCAATAATGTTCAAGTGTTTTTAATGCTTAAGCCTCAATCGTGAATAAAAATTTTATTTCTTATTTCTTCTTACATAAATGTAATGTTTATTACAGAAAGTTTAGAAAACAAATATAAGATACAGAAAAGAAAATAATCCATAATTCTATAGGGACTCATAACATTATTAATATTTTGGTTTCTTTCATGTTTACTCTTTATTCTTCATTTATATACATATAAAATGTATATGTACCTTCTTTTAAGGTGATTTATATTTATTTTGAGAGAGAGACTGAGCACAAGTGGGGAAGGGGCAGATAGAGAGGGAGAGAAAGAGAATCCCAAACAGGCTACACACTGTCAGCACAGAGCCTGATGAGGTGATCAGTCTCACTAACGGTGAGATCATGGCCTGAGTTGGAATCAAGAGTTGGACACTCAACCAACTGAGCCACCCAGGTGACCTATAACTATCTTTTGAAATAAACCTTATGGTATACTAAGAATATCTTTTTATACTATTGTGTGTTCTTTCACAATGCAATTTTTATTGATTACATAATATTCTACATAATATTCTAGTGTATGGATATACTATACTTTCTTTTTAAATTTACTATTGCTGTACATTTAGATTATTTCCAATCTTTGTTTTAAACTCTATTTTGTCCAATATAGGTATCGTTACCATGGCTTTCTTTTCACATCCATTTGCATGAAAAATGCTTCTCCATCTGGTCACTTTCAATCTGCATGTGTCTTTAGGTCTGAAATGAATCTCTTGTAGGTAGCATATAGATAGGTCTTGTTTTTTTATCCATTCTATCAACCTTTGTCTTTTGATTGGAGCTTTTAGTCCATTTACATCCAAAGTAATTATTGATAGGCATGTATTTATTGCCATTTTGTTACTTGTTTAATGGTTGTTTTTGTAGTTTTTTTCCATTCCTTTCTTCTCTTGTTCTCGTCTCTCATGATTAGTTGGCTTTTTTAGTGATACACTTGAATTCCTTTCTCTTTATTTTTTGCATCTCTATTACTGGTTTTTGATTCGTGGTTACCATTAGGTTTGTACATAATATCTTCTGTATATAGCAGACTGTATTAAATTGATGGTCACTTAAGTTTGAACCCATTCTTTACTCCTTTCCTCCCCCTGTTTTAGGTATATGATATCATACTATACACCCTTTTATTTTTTGAGTCCCTTGAATTATTTTTACAGATACACTTATTTTTACTGCTTTTGTATTTCCTACTTTTCATACTCTTATTTATGGTCTTTCCTTTCCACTCAAATGTCCCTTTAACATTTCTTATAGGGCTGGTTTAGTGGTCATGAATTCCTTTAACTTTTGTTTGTCTGGGAAACTATCTCTACTTCTATTCTGAATGATAGCCTTGCTGGATATATACATCTATTTAGCGAATGTTATTATGCTTGATGGTGTTGCTGAGTTCCCTAAGTCTGTTCTCATTTTCCATAATTTTTTTCTCTCATCTCTCATCTGTGGCCTTGTGGTATTCAACTTCTCTGTACCTCAATTTCCATGTCTGAAGAGTAGGAAACCTTATTATTAGCTATCAATTACTATCACAATTTACAATCATTGATCTACATTAGTTGAATTAATAATGCATAAGATGTTAAGAATATTATTTTAATAACTTTTTTTAGTGCCTACTATGTGCAGGATACTTGAAGGTGCTAAGAATTCAGCAGTGAACAAAAGAGATTTTTTTAAAAATCTCTGACCAAAAATGACAAAAAAAAAAAAAAACACAACACCCCAAAACAACACACACACAAAAGGGGGATAAGAAGGGATGGAGAATTCAATGTTAAATAGGATAGTGAAAGAAAGCCTTGCTAAAAAGATGATTCTTGAGCAATTATCTGAAGGAAGAGAGGGAGTAAGCCTTGCAAATATCTGGAGAAAGGGAGTTCTAGGCAGAGAGAACAGACAATGCAAAGGTCTGGGAAAAGATGCAGTGATGGATAATGTAAAAGAACTCTGATATGTAGAAACTCTGAAATGTATATGGGCCGTGGGTCATGACTACACAAAAACAACAGTGCTAAGTTAAAAATTCAGTTTAAAATGTTTAAAATGCTGTGAGATTAATTGCCGGCATGACAACATGAGTTGTTCTTCTGACTTGCTCCCCAGTGAAACTGGTCAAAACTGGTCAAAATTATTTTTAAAAACTGGTCAAAATTACAAACAACAAACAAAAACAGATTATTAAAACCTTTGGAAATGATCCTAATGCAAATAGCAAATGAAAAAAACATCCACTCAGGAAAATCTAAGTTAAAAAAAAGAAAAATAACTAGGTAAGAAAGGCAAGTGTATGGTATTTGAATCAGACCACTCCCTCTTTCTCCCCTCCCAAATCAGGGAGGCAGAGATTCCCCCCCCCCCCACCCCCCCACATACACTCCCCAGCTCTGAGCTGGAGGGCTTTCTTCCTGGGACTAGCAGGATCCTAGCATTTCTCACCCTGCCCCCAACTGCCTGTTGCTCAGGCTAATTCCTGAATGAGTTCAGGAAGAGTAGGGATCCCTTCTTGTGTCCAATCCTGCTTGTAGTAGAGAGGCTCTACCTTGGGAGTAGCATCCTAGAAGGGTTGGGACCCTGATAACCCTTACCCAAGCTCCTGACATGGTAGCTCCCTACCAGAAGAAGCAAGTTAAGAGGACCTCATTGTCCCTCCTCTCAGCTCCTGGGCCCTTACTCAGAGAGTTTGTCTTAGGGGAGAGGCAGGCCATGAACCAAATACCTCCTAATTTTTTCTCAAAGTAACTGTCTTCATTTACAACAGAGACTGGAAAAATTTAAGCCTAAGGGTGTTCTCAGAAATAGTAGATATGTAGTAAAAGGCAGTTGATATAGCCAAGACTAAGGCTGGCTAGTTTGCAGGAGTGAAAGGAAAATAAGACAGCTAGGAGGATCCCTCCTGGGTTTAGAACAAATATCAAACACTGACATCTAAAACTATTCCTTCAAAAGAGCCACAATTTGATTGGATCTGTTTGTACAAGAACTAATTCCTTAGGGCATTATTGAAAACAGTAGAGCAATCAGCCCTGCAATTAGTGTAGTTTAACAGCTTGGTGTGGTCTGAGATTGAGTGACTATGAACATTCCCAAAACTCTGCCTCCTAGAGGAACAACATCAGCAATGTAACAATGTGGGAGAAAAATAGACGTCACTAAAATAATCCAACCTGTCAGTAAAAAAATAATGAAATAACAAGCTCACTATAGGGGACAAGGGGTAGCAGTACCCAGAATTGCTACAATATAGTATCCAAAATGTCCAGTTTCCAATGAAAATTTATGAGGCATACAGAAAAATAAGAAAACGTGATTCATACATCAGGGAAAAAAGCAGATCTATAAACTACCTTTGAGAGCAACCAGATGACAAATTAATTTAAAATAATAATATTTTAATAATATTTTAATAAATGTTAATAGAATATTTCAAAGTAGGTTTTATATACATATCTACAGAACTAAAGTAAAGAATGATTAAAGAAACAAAGGAAGGTGTGATGACACTGTCACATCAAATAGGAAATGTCAACGAAGAGGAATTATAAAAATGAACTAAATGGAAATTCTGAAGTTGAAAAGTACAATAACTGGAATAAAATATTGACTAGAGAATCTCAACAGATTTGAATTAGCATAATAAAGAATTAGTGAACTTTAAGATAGACTGATAGAGATTTTACAAGCTGAAGAACAGGGAGAGAAAAGAGTAAAGAAAAATGAACAGAGCCTCAGAGATATGGGACACCATTAGATACACCAGCATACAAATAATGGGAGTATCAGAAGGAAGGGAGAATAAACAAAAATATCAAAGAAATAATGGCTGAAAACTTCTCAAATATATTGAAAAATAATAACCTCCATACTCAGGAAGCTCAACAAAATCCCAATAGGGTAAACTCAAAGAGAACTGCAGGCACAGCATAGTAAAAATGATGAAAGACAAGAAAATCTTGAAAGCAGCAAAATAAAAGAAATTAGTCAGTTATAAGGAACCTCAGTAAAATTATGAGCTGACTTTTCAGCAGAAACAATAGGGGCCAGAAGGCAGTGGGTTAAAATATTTAAAGTAGTCAAAGATTAAAAAAAAAAAAAAGTACAACCAAGAATTCTATACCCAGCAGTGCTTTCAACAATGAAGGCAAAAGAAAGACTCCCAAATAAACAAAACTGAGAGAATTTGTTGCCAGCAGACTCACAAGAAATACTAAAGGAAGTTCTTCAAGCTGAGAGCAAGTGACCCCAGACAGTAATGTGAATCTGCACACAGAACGCTGGTAAAGGGTTTCTTGGAGTAATGCACTAGAGCAAGGAAAGTGCATGAGCCTGGATATCATATTGTGTCAGAGAGTAAGGAAGTACTCAAAGAATGATGGTGTCATGTTAAAAGAACACACAAGCAAACTTGGAACTTCTACTGGTTAAATCTGGGATAATTTGAGCACCAAGATAACATTGAATTAAACAATAAACCACAAGACCATACTGACTAAATAACTAAAATTTTAAATTTAGTTATTAAATAACTAAATTGATAGATGAAGAAGGAGATAGTTACACAGTTTTAAAGCATCTTTCCACAGAACACTTAATAATCACATAAGGGAAAAGAGATGTTACTTAATTCAAATTGTCAATTTGAATATTAATAATAGGGCACACAAATTCTGAGACAGCAAGCAATATGAAGAGCTCAACATCTTTTTGTGATATTCTAGAAAAAGATTCTTTACCTAATCATAA